AAAATAGTTTAATTTGGTGTGTATAATGTTTTACTGGTTTGATTACCTTTGCTATAATTTGCACTACTTTCGTTTTTTTATTGTTCGGTGTTGTAACGGTCTGACTCGCTCCTACTGGACATCTGTAAAAAAAAAACACATTCCTGCGGAGGGAGCTGGTAGGAACGTTGGGTTGCTCGGTCAATGGCCAGGGTCAACGGCGGCGTGGTGTATTCCGCAAATATGCCCGACTGTGAGGGCGGGCACAAGCCGGCGTGAGTAGGTTAAACGTTGAGTTTTATAAGGGCACCACGGGGTGACCAGCCCCTCCCCACCCAGCCCCACCCCACCCAGCCCCACCCAGCCCCTCCCTACCCTCCTCTCTCCACCCAGCCCCACCCAGCCGCACCCCTCCCACGTGGACAGACATCCACAGACATACACAATTAATCCCCTGCCTCCTTTTGATTTAAAGCTTTCGTGACTGCAGGGATTCATATTCTTGGTTCTTTCGGTAAAGTCACGTAGAAGGGAAACAATAAAATATAAAACAATATGAATATGAACCCCTGCCTTCTGTGAATTAATCCTGAATGGGCTTCCAGTCCATATAAGGGCACCACGGGGTGACCAGCCCCTCCCCACCCAGCCCCTCCCTACCCTCCCCTCTCCACCCAGCCCCACCCCTCCCACGTGGACAGACATCCACAGCCATACACAATTAATTCCCTGCCTCCTGTGAATTAATCCCGGTTGGGCTTCCAGTCCACTACGTTTCCTACCAGTAAGAGCTTTCTAGCTCATCGGATTCCTCCACTATAAATAAATATTTTGCTTCTGAGAGCACACCTTGGAGGTAAGGGAAAATGTCACCTGTTGCAAATGCTGTAGGATCTGGCAGATGGAAACGATTTAAAAAAAAAAACCCTTTCTGTTGATCACTGGTATATAGTTCATGCTCATAATAAAGGTTTTTGGGTTAGATCGCGTTAGTATAAATGTGTCGTATCCCTCAACCACCCGACACAGCCAGTAAGATTTGTCACGTAAACAAAACGTGCCACTCAACACAGCCAGTAACTAATTGGCGCGTTTTGTTTACGTGGCGAACCTTACGGACTGTGTCAGGTGGTGGAGGGTTACGACACGTTTATACTCAAGCCAGGGGTATTACACTTGGATGGTCACTGCAAGGGAGTGTCGCGCGCGACATTTGATGAGTTTGTCCGATCCAACAAACCTCGCCGCCTCCACAGTGCTGGATTACGTGCGTGCATACCCGCGATGGCAAATATTTATTCATACTGGAGGAATCGGATAAGCTATAAAGCTCTCTTTTTTCACAGATGTCCAGTAGGTGGCGGGTCAGAACGTCACAACAACAAATTATACAAAAACACGGCAGGATTACACAGTTTAGGAAAAGGTAAACACATCAATTAAAAAGATATACAACTAAACAATTTTTTTTTATCTTACCAGGCAAAGCCCACTGAGACATTCACTTATTTTTCAGAAGCGAACCGAGGGTGAGGATGGCATCAAATATATTCTTGAACTTGAATCTGTTTGCACACCCCCCCCTCACCACCTCATCCATCCCGAGAAGTTACCTCTGAATGGGGGGCACACGGGGTGAGGTGGGGGGGGGGGCGGTAGGGCGACTAGCAACACAATCCAGAAACGCACGGTAGGGGCACGACACGGTCAATGTTAAACAGACCTTAAACAAATGTTAAACGCTGAGTAGAATGAGTAAATATGGGACCTGCTTTTGTCTATCATGCATTCTGCTGGAGCTTTCAATGCACTACGTTTAAGATTTTTGTCCAACACCCAACAATCATGCACATATGATGTAAATGATTATGGGTGAATCCCCACCACTGGTGTTAAATATTGCACCAACATATATGGTTTACTCGACTATAAGAATGTATACAAGTGGTGGGCCCAACCACGACTGTTCACTAGGAGGGGGGGGGGGGGGGGGGGCATGGGACCCCCAGACTCTGAAACACTCTTCACTTCAATGTGTGCCTAAACAAACGGATGGTTTTGTGTTTTTGTGTTTATTTACAGGCGAAGGCAACCTCGATAAAAGAAGGAATAGCGAAATGGGTACGCATAAACACACATCGAATGCTTCCTTTTTTAAAATATGTTAATTATTAGGAATGTATTGATTAATAGATGCTCGCGAATAGTACTTGCCCCAAAAGTCTGTTAAATCTATACAGATAATCTTTGTATTTATTCCCCCTCCCTGCCCTCTTCGCTTTTCAACTTTTATATTACTGGTAGGAACCTCCTGGTTACACCACCAGCCCACAGGGGATTATTGTGTCCGTCCGTCCGTCGTGCATCCAAAAATGGGAGAGGTGGGGCTGGGTGGAGAGGGGAGGGTGGGGAGGGGCTGGGTGGGGAGGGAGGGGCTGGGTGGGCAGGGGAAGGTGGGGAGTGGCTGGGTGGGGCTGGGTGGGGAGGGGAGGGTGGGGAGGGGCTGGGTGGGGAGGGTGGAGAGGTGCTGGGTGGAGAGGGTGGGGCTGGGTGGGGGGTGGGAGGGGTGGGGCTGGGTGGGGGGTGGGAGGGGTGGGGCTGGGTGGGGGGTGGGAGGGGTGGGGCTGGGTGGGGAGGGGAGGGGCTGGTCACCCCGTGGTGCCCTTATAAAACTCAACGTTTAACCTACTCACTCCGGCTTGTGCCCGCCCTCACAGTCGGGCATATTTGCGGAATACACCACGCCGCCGTTGGCCCTGGCCATTGACCGAGCAACCCAACGTTCCTACCAGCTCCCTCTGCAGGAATGTGTTAATTGTCACGATTCGATCAAATAATTATCGATTCGGGGTTATTTTTGCATTGTGGTGAATGTCGGGCCCCACGATTCGAAGAGCATGTGCGTTTATAATGCACGTATTGTCAGTTACACAAGAACTAATTAAGCAAATGAACCACGTGCATATTTACATCACATAACCATCATGCAGTTCATGACGCCAGAAAACGTTTATAAGGCACACATTTCGTGAGTATTAGTTAAAAAAAATTTAGAACTCTTTAAGAGTTGTGAACGTTAATCATTGTTATTTCACAATAAGTTAAATATTTAAGAAATTTTAAACAAGCAACGATAATCATGATATGATGATATTTTTAAAAACGGACTTTACGAAGATTGTGGATCTTATAACGTTATTCATTGTTTTCCTGTCATATCGCAGCCACCCTAGTTTTAATCAATTAATCGATGCATCGTTACATACTGAGTAATTGTGCAGCAATTTGCCAGGAGTTATGGCCCAATTGATTGGACATCAAAGGCACCAACCCAGCATCATCAGCATCATCCGCATTGACTTTTGTCGTCCATAAAATTAACAGTGATGTCAGGATGTTGATAGGGTACAGTACTTAAATTCCTCAGCATGTCCCCCCCCCCTTCCAATGAAGTGATTTTTGTGGTTACCGTTTAATTAAGGACACCCAGGACCTTGTAATAGGAATGTGGAGTCCGCACCAGTAATTTTGGAATGGTAAATAAGGAGAGCACTGATTTAAAGCTTTCGTGACTGCAGTAATTCATATTCTTAGTTTTTTCGGTAAAGTCACGTTGAAGAGAAACACCTGATGATGACCGTTTGAGTTATGGTCGAAACGTCGTGAGAATTTTTTATTGTTTTATATATATTTTGTTATTTTGTTGTTTCTCTTCAACGTGACTTTACCGAAAAAACTAAGAATAAGGAGAGCACTGTTTAATTCCAATTAAAGCAGATAAGTTATTTGACATTCGGGATAAGTTGTAAACGCGACGTTAATGTATAAATAAACACAGTAATGAGTTTCTGAGCCCCTCAATGACGATTCATGAATTCGTTTAAAAAAACAACAAAGGTTTGATTAAAATATTGGTGGAACCACTTTGTCCTATTGTGTGAAATGGCTTGGGAATAAAAACACGAAATAGTTAACATTTTGTAACATGACCAAAATCATACATCCTGTCTGGCATTCATTTCATCATCTTAGTCCTTTACATCTTAGTTATCTAATACGGACAAATGTCTTCTGTATGCAGCCATGCCAGAGGTAGGCACCTTTGTGAACAGTAGAGAGATGACCCCTTTTAAGAAGAGTTGAAACTTATTTTTTCGGGAGGCTTTAAGACTCAATGCATGGGTATAGACAAACGACGTTATGACTAACTTCAAAAAATATATTATCACGTAGCATTAATGATGAATGTACTTCACAAAAATAAAACCTTCATTTCATTGTAAATTTCTAGAGACGCGCAAATTGCGGAGGGTATGTATCGACAAATATTAAATCATTTTATATTTCTACACGTGTATATAATAGACGGGGAGGTGCGGTGGTTCGTGCACTGCGCTATTAATCTGGGGACAATGGGCAATCACCTGATTTTAAATAAATTACTGATGTCTATCTGTGAACCTTGTAAACCAATGTTCGTCTTCGTTTGTTCAAGAAGGAAAACTCCAGAATCGTATAAATGGCCAGCAGACTGGTGAACCAAATATTATATTTAATAAAATGTCTACATTATGGGAAAAAAAAACCTTTGTTTATTTATAATTTAATGAGCTACAATCCATCACGACAGTGCATAACACATTTTGTTAAGACTTTAGTGTACAGTAATTGAATTTGTGAACCGTTAATGTGCAAATTTGTCCTGGGTGTGAAGTTAAATGGCATCTTGTGATGTTTCATCTAAAAAAAACATCGTTGAGGATAGAAATGGGACACCCCCTTCGAAATAATATTTCCACTTCCGGCTCAAGAACACTCGTATACTACAGTAGTGGCATAGCCATCAAGACAGCAGAAGTGCAACTGCACAGGGGTCCACAGGCCAGAGGGGCCCAGGTGCCGTGCTGTAAAGAGGGGGGGGGGGGGGGGGAGAGGAATTTGACAGGGGGCCCCATTTCATTCCCTGCGCCAGGGCCCTTTCCGGCCACACTATGCCACCGGAATGTGCAGAGCGCTGTTGCCAGGTGAAGAGGGAGGGTGCCGAGATTGGATGTGATGGAGTGAACTCGAGCCATGTACCGGTGCAGATTAATGTGAAATAGAAAGAGAGACGTGCGAATGTATGAGGTGTGCCATTACAATCAGGACTTTAATTTCACTCGGGTGTCCAGATCAGTGACATGGAAAATATGTTCACCCCCAGCACACCGCATTCGGTATACCTTTCGCATTGTGCCTGCGATTTACGAGCCACGTGCCTATTCCAGTCTACCAGCAATCCGCAACATATTGGGTGATGCACACGATGGTACATTTTTGACTCTCTCTCTCTGTCTCCAGGAGGAGAAGGCAGGCGAGAAGGCGGGTGAGGCGAAGATCGTGAAGCTGTACGCGCAGTACCCGCCCATCGAGAAGATGGACGCATCCCTGTCGCTGCTCGCCAGCTGCGAGTGCGTGTCGCGTCCGCCCCCGCTCCCGCTCGTCGTTTGCGCCCCTAATTGCGCTGCTGTCGAAGCCGAGACCCTCGCCCAGCTCCCAGCTCCCTCGGGGGAGGGGATGACAGCTCCGGTAGACGTTAGAGTGGCGTCGTGCAAAGCGTGCGTGTGGCAACGTACGTGCCTGTTTATATTATCACCATCAATTATTGTTGGTACAGTTGTACTGCTGCTCCTATTGCTTCTGTTTATTTGAAGTTACAGTCATGGCGCAATATAGGGGCAGCATAAATAGACATGATACTGGAGGACCAGATGCCATGCTGTAAACCCAGCAGTATAGAATCGAGATCTTCAAACCTCACTCTATATCTGATTTAAATGCACTGTTAAACACAGTGCATCTAAATCAATGGAGTTATGTTTAATATGGAATTCACTTACATATTAAACATAATTCTGTGAAATCATATTCCACGTGAAAGCTACAATTATGTAAATAATGTGCAGCCCTTTATCAATCCACTACTCGATAAAGGCCTCCCCATGCTATGGTGGTGTTTGGGGATTGTGTGACCATACTTCACAATGCCAGTCAGTACAGGTTCGTGAAGGTGGGGGGCCCAGAACTGGTTCAGATATCACTCCCTACTAATTCAGGTCACCAGGTTAATTATGCAATGTGCTAACCACTGCACTGGGTTACCTATTTAAGGATAAACATACGTTTGTAGAATCAGGTACCATGTTACACTTAAATACATGGAATTTGACTTCATGTTAAATCTCACTCTGTGGAATCGGATTGCTTGGATACAATCCTACCACTGTGGAAACATATTTCATGTTATATACATGGGCCCAGATTCCCATTGTGACGATTGTTTGCTTTTGTCAGATTTTTTGTGTAAAAATCTGACAATGTCCCTGATTGGCAACAATTGTGGTGAATCAGCAAAACGATTTAAATCCTACATTTTCTCAAGATGAGATGGAGAGCTGTGAACGTCTGAACTCGGTGAGAGCCCTTTAAGAGACTAAGGTATTTTTTGCAAACGAAACCTGGGGTGCAAAACAATGCCATCATTGTCAGCCATAGTCAAATCACTGCTGGCTGATGCCCTGGCCATCTGCACATGAGCTTGATTTCATCACTCCATCTCTCCTCGGAGAAGGTACTCTCAGAAGTGTTCCATTTTGTGTGTCACTCCATCATTGTACAGTAGAAAATCAAATCTCGGGAAAACAATATGTTCATGAAGACAAACAAAGATGTGACCAAGAGAACATTTGAATTATCCTAACATGCATTTGCAATCATACACATTTCATGCACTGCAATTATGTTTTACATGCAGTCAGATTGCATGGGGGTAGATTTTTAAAATGTGGTTCGACTTGAAAGGGTCTGCGTGCCCTGGTTACTTGCCATTTATTTGCCTTGGGTATTTTTGGAGTTGTGTTTTTTTCACGGTGGTGCATGGACGTGTGTTTGTGCGAGCATGGGGGTGTGTGTGGGCGTGTGTTTGTGCGCTTGTGTACATGTTTGCGCGCATGTGGATGTTTGTGCACACATGGGAGCACGTGGCCATATCTGCTCAGCCTTTGTCGGCGAGCACTGTAATTGATGAATTTGTATCAAGGTTTTGAGGTTAGAGAGTTCCTTTTCAATCTTGGCAAAAACAACTTCATCCGACTCATCCTTGTTTTCGTGCAATATCCCTGTTTTTTTTCTCTCTCTTCTGTCGCACAGGAAACTGTCCTTGTCCACAAATTGCATCGAGAAGATTGCCAATCTCAATGGACTCAGTAAGAGACCGATTTTTGTTCTGCTGATTTACCAAGAGCTGTGTGCTCGCAACGAGATTTCAGATTGCTTTGGGGATTGAGCTCGTTGTGAAGCAGTCTGGTTTTTAGTCTGGCCTTTAAATGTGTCTTTTTAGCAAAACGCGTCGTTTTTTGTATTTATTTTTAAGTGTATTATTTTGAACACTAATTTGTGAGCTGGGTGCCTGGTTTTGTCTTGAATGCGTTATTGGGACTCATTTTCGCGATTAGTGTGTTTAAAATAGCGTGAATCGTGCTGTGTGGTGTTTTAAAATAGCGTGAATCGTGCTGTGTGGTGTGCACGTTGGGCAATGTGACACACCTTGGTGTGTGTGGGCCTTTAAATGTGAGGCGCCGTGTAATGGTGCCCTCTTATTTTAGTTTTTTATCGCCACTGCAGAATTCATCAAGATTTTGTCACTTGGACGTAACAACATCAAAAACCTCAGTGGTCTGGTGAGTCATCACGACTGACACAACACTTCCTGGTTAGAACCAAAACACGTGATATGGTATGGCATTATATAAAACGTATATACATTTTTTAATGTACAATACACTTCTGGACGAAGGCCTCCCGATACTTTGCAGATTGTGGGGGTAATTTTAACGATACAGTATTCCCTCGTTATTCCGAATATTTTTTATTTATTCTGGAAGAATCCGATGATCTATAAAGATCTTTTTCACAGATGAGGACACGTTTCGGCGATGCTCTTGAATAGAACATTTCGCGGATAATGATATTGGCCTATTTAAATAAATACGTAAATAAACTATTAAATATATGTAAACTATAACACGAAAATACAAAAAAGAACTTCACCTCATCACTTTATCTCATCACTTTCCTACATCACATTCCCTCTCATCACTTTCTTTCTTTCTCTCTCTCTCTGGATGCAGTCGTGTAGAGTTCCATTTGCGATTTGCGGATAGCCAAATCGCGGATAGCCAAAATCGCGGATAGCAAGTTCGTGAATAACGAGTGAATACTGTACTTCACCATGCTGGTCAGTGCGGTATAGTGAAAGTGGGGAGCATAGACGTAGAAGAATCAAAGCACAGTACAACAGTAGATTTTGCTGAACTGCCCCTTTGCTGCCTCACATATGCCACCTCACATATGCCTATGACAACCTAGCATGGATTGTGGTCACCCATCCAAGCACAATCCATGCCCAAACTGCTTAGCTTCTGAGATCTGACGAGATTGGGCACATTCCAGGTGATTTGGTCATAAGCTTTGAACTTATATACAAATATATTAACAGTTTATTATAATATTGACAAGTACTAATAAGGGTCATTTGTAGAGAAAAGTCTCATCGAGTTTCAAGTATTCTTTTTCAGAAGGACCCTATTTCAAGATGTTAGGAAACGTTCCTGTTAGAGTATATTTTACACGCATAAAAAAACGGGAGTGCCCATAGACAACCACGTTCATGAGGAGATCACACAGAAAAGTCCATGCAGATAAATCAGCAACCCCTTTCTAGACTTCCACCTATGGCTAACCGCCCCATTGCCCTACTGATGCATGAGTGTATCTTGCACATCACAATTCCATCTCTGTGTGATCCACCAACCCAACTTCCAAGGCTTTGCATTGCAGACGTGTATCTTTGCTGCTTCACTTTTCTCTGATCGAGTGTGTGTGTGTACACGTATTTGTGATCGCACACACATCTGGGGAGCGGTATTTTCGCGGTTAGGGCTCTGCACTACTAACTCGGTGAACCGAGTTTGATTCCCGCTCACGTCCAACACCAGTGACGATTATTTGAACCAGTACTGGGCCTCTCCTAGATCGACTTAGCCTCAAATAAGTACCTGGTGTGGTGTGTAAACATCACCACTAGGGAGACAAAGGGGTGTTGGCCACCCACCCCCTCGTGTACCATCCTGGCCTTCATAGGTGCTCACTAACAGCACTTGCTCCAGTCTTTTAAGGCTATATGGGGGCTCTTTGTCTTTGTGATGTCAGGAGCGGTGGCGCAGTTGTTAGCGCACCATATTGAAATCCCAGCAACATGAGTTTGATTCCTGACCATGCCTAACGACAGTTACAAAAGTGAGTTCTGAACCAGTTCCGAGCCTCTACTAGGTTGACAGCCTGAAATGAGGACCTGGTTCAGTGTATATATTTATGTGTACATCAGCACCGAGGAGACATAAGTGGCCGGGCATATAGCTGCCTACACCATCCTCTTGCCAAGTGCTCACTAATAACACTCCAAGTCTATTAACCCTTTCCCATTCCGATGATGCACACATACACTATTATAGCGTGCAGTCGTGTCCGTATGGTTCTCTGCGGTGAATGCAATGTCTTTTACAACAACAGCACTATGCCTCTCTAAATAATATTAATGTTAACCACTTGCGCGTTTCGTGATTCAGTGGTGAATGGGACCCACCCTGCAACTTGGAGATGTCTCGGAATGGGGTTAACGACCACATGGGGGATATTTGTATTTGTGGTGGCAGGAGGCTGTGGGTGATACGCTGGAGGAGCTGTGGATCTCCTACAACAACATCGAAAAGCTGAAGGGCATCCACGTGCTGAAGAAGCTGCGTGTGCTCTACATGTCCAACAACCTTGTCAAGGAGTGGAGTGAGTAGTGGGTTGACGTTGGGAGGATGGAGAGCGAGTGGGTGGGTGAGCGAAAAGTGAGTGGTGGGGTGAGTGAAGAGTGAATGAGGGGTAAGTGGTGTGCGAAACCATCCCAGGTGATTGGGCACCTTGGCACAGGCCTGGATAAAATTACATTGTGATCACCTGGATTCAATAAACCACAAAACTCTCAAATTGAGTTTATAATTACAACATTTATTTCATTAAGAAAACTGTGAAAACATACATTCAAAGCACTGTACAGGAAGAACCCAAATTAACACTTTAATTTATTCAGTCTCATAAATTAGTATCACCTTATCCCAATACACAATTAGCATATCTGTTCACGTGAACGCACTGTGAATGCCTGCCACTGTTAAGTGGTCCGTATGTTTTAATGGTCAATGTCAGCTCAGTGCAGAGTCCTGCATTAGTTTGGGTTCCCACAGGTACCCGCAATATGCTCTGACCTCTGAGCTACCCGACCACCTCAATGCGACATGTGTTTTCCAAGTTGGGGCTTCCGGGTTAGGCTGCATGTTGAGCTTTTCTTCTCATTTCTTCTTTCAAACCTCCGGCGACCCACTTCAACTCCTGAAGATGCTTGCAGGAGTTAAGCGGGCGAAAGCTTGAGAGAAGAAACACTCAATACGCAGTCTAACCCGGAAGACCGTGGTTGAAGTACGAGTGGCTGTGAAAACCTAGGTGTGACATCGCCGTGTTGTTTTACTGGGTGGTGGCGGTGTGGCCTAGGCGAGTTTGTGCGGCTGGCCGATCTGCCTGCGCTGGCCGACCTGGTGTTTGTGGGAAACCCCCTGGAGGATAAACACTCGGGCGAGGGGAACTGGATGGAGGAGGCAACTCGGCGCCTGCCCCGGCTGAAAAAACTCGATGGTGAGGAACTTGGTCCATCATCCCTCAAGGGGTTGGTAAAATATGTATCGCTTTGTGAGAAGTCAACAGCGATCGTTCAGCAGTTAGACTGGCCCTCGCTGGGGGGAATGTGGAATTTCCAGCACAGCTTCAGGGCCACAAACCGAGATGGTTGCTGCCACATGGCTCAGCTCATCCACCCCCAGAAACGTGCGTCCCGGGTTTCTCAGACCCCAGCAGATGAGCTCAATTTATACAGTGGCTCAAGCACTTGACTCAAAGGGGAGAATTGGATAGGGAGACACATGTAATTCCTTGCAACAGGGCCCCATGACAACCATTGCTGTAGGACCACGGCTCAAACCCGTGGGCCTACTGCACCACACAGGGTCTGTCTCATCCCACGCATCATTCACCAACCACATCCTTCATGTTCGCTTTCCCCAAGCACCACCGCCATCACGGAGCACTTCCCCGCCACTCTCACGCATGCAATGCCACATCTAACATCATCGCAGGTGGATTTGACAAAATAGAAACGTACATTGTGAGACCCCCCCCCCCCTTATCAATCCATTCCTGGACGAGGGCCTCCCCACACTACTTGGGTGGTGGAGGTTATTTGACCATGCTTCACCATGATTGTCAGTGCGGGTTTGTTATGGTAAAGGGTAGACGTGGAAGCGTCTGTGTTTTCAGAATGGATTTTACTGTGCTGCCTCCTACTGCCCACCACGTAGTCCTGCAGCCCTATTAATACCTCTGTGCATGGTCACCCGTCCAAGCATTATCCAGGCTCAGCTTGCGTAGCTTGCGTGATCTGACAAGATTTAAGTCATTTAGGGTGATAGGCGTCCATCAGCCAACGTCAAATCATCATGATGCCATTGTAACCATCGCGCTGTCCTCGACCCCCCCCCCCATGAAGGCTGTCCTGTCATCAGGCAAGACGAGGAGGAGGCCGAGCCCGAGAGTTGAAGAGAGTGATGTGAAGAGGAGAACGGACTCGTCTAATGGCTTCCATGTTCTGTCACAGGCAGTGGCATCTCAGTCCTCTTGTCCTCCACCCCCATTAGAAACTGTTACACGTTTGCCAATATTCACCGACACACCAAGTTCCTGATGGACAATTAAAACAACTAAATCCTGGATTTGTGTACAGGTATGAGGAATGGAGCCAAGAGATCTGACATTTTCTGTTAAATAAAAAAATATATAAATACAATTGCACGTGATCATTTGTAAGTTCTTCCCTTTCATTTGTTTGAAGAAGAAATCAATACGGCATTAACACTGAATTGCCTGTGGTGTCAAGTTTAGCAGTGAGCAACAATGGACTCGCAATCGAGAGCTCGCCAGTTCAATCTCCCTATGCGGCATTTGAAACGATGGTGCACGTTCCTCCACCCATCACCCCCACTGCCGCTGCCCACCTAGCAGTATAAATGGGTTCACTCCAAGTCGATCGCCAGCTCACCGCATGCGTTAGGGTAGAGTGCACGTGCTCCCACCTCTGCCAAAATACCAGGGCCGGTGTGGAAGAGTCGGCCAAAAAGACACGCTGGATGTTTCGTAATATTTATTGGGAAGGGTGCAATTACAATTTCGTTCAGAAACTTTTGTACAAGATACAGTAAATAAACATTGAAGTTGTATTTATTTTGCAAGGAATCAAGCGGATGTGAGATTGCACTCTACATGTATGCTAGATTTGTTATAATGTAACATGCCACGATACATATTTTGACATTTTCATCAGCATTAACATTTGGCAAATTGTGAATGTCTCATTGTTTATAACAGCCTCTTGAAAAATTATGAAAACCATGTTCCAAAACATTGCCTTATAGTTTTATAATCAAAACAAATCTATCCATATCACATATGTTGGCCAAACTGTTACTACACGAGTTAACGTACTGACTTTTTTATACATACAAAAAAACGTCTTAATTTGCTCAATTTGTTTCATGTTCAGTAATTTTGGCTTTAACGATTAATAGATTAATTTATTCATATTCAATCTCAAGCTCAATAATATTAATGAAATAACATTACAGATGCTATAATTTAAAAGCCCACAATATTTGCGCATCGGTATAAGGTTTAATGTTTTTCCAATTGAACACTATATTATTGTTATGCTTTTTTACCCAGGAAAGCTTCACTGAGTCTCAGGATTATTTTTCAGGAGGGTCCTGCCAAAGGTTTTTGCAGGAGGTGGCGATGCTGATAAGTGTAATCCCAACTGAGTAATTTTCAGGTAATTTTTCAGAAATGGGATGTTACATCGTATGTGTTTTTCTAAATTCAGCTGTGGGAGGAAACCCATTCTAAAAAGGGAGAGAACATACCAACTCCACAAGGAAAGGAGCCCGAGTTGGAATAACAATTGTTACAACCTGGACAAAGAAACATGTTTGCAAATGTGCAACCAAGGTTTTGCGTTGACGGCTAATTTAAACACTATCATGGGACCTTTTTTCCCAGTATCAAAGTATGAAAAATAAAAATAGGTTTTACCCTTTCCAGCAATAAAGCAGGTGTTACGATGTTCAAACACCAAATAGATACATTTTGCAAGGAATTAAAGTCTGCATTAACCACACGTACTTGTGGTGAACATGCAAACAAACATGCTCTGATGTGCATTGTCTTTGAAACTGATTGACCTACACCAGAGACGGCCTTCTCTAATTTAAACACTCCTTAAGACAGGCGCACTTTGGAAATCGTGAAGATAATGCCAATACATGATTTCTCCCCACTTTATTTTATTCTGCATATACCTTTAGTACACCTTTCACCAAATCATCCAGCTCTTTCAGGAGGGATCTTGCCATGTTTTCTCAGTCGGGAGGTGATGTTGCTAAGTGCCAATTGAGTAATGCACATGTAATTTGTCACCGTTGGGATGGTTTTGCTAATCACCGTTAGATTGCAGGGGAAGGGGGGAAGGCATTGCTGTAGGAGGAAACCGAAGTATCTGTCAAATATCTGAAGCTAAACATGCGTTGAGCCTGGATAGTGCTCGGATGAGTGGACCGTTTCGCACGCCCGGTGTGCGTTATCGACTGTGCTCCGCTGTTGGGCGGCAGGGGGCAGTGCAGCCCAAGGCCAATCTTGTCCGCTCCCCACATCTCCACTCCTCCCCGCTGTCCACACGACCGGTGAAGCAGTGACCAGCGTTTGTGGGTTATTGTTTTGTTATGCATGCATGCATGCCTGCACACCTTCAAAAGAGTCGGATGCATAAAAAGCACAAGGATTTTTCGATAGCCGCATTATACTGTCGGGGCAAAAGCTGTTCGCACGTGTTAAGGCCACCACGGCGCATGGGGGAATGGTGTCTCCCCAAGTGGTAATGTTTAAAACACAGCACCACGTAGACATTTAAGGCTGAGTCGCCCTAGGGGATGCACAGGACCGGTTCACATATTCGTCATCGATGCTGGCCGTGAGCGGGAATCGAGCGCTAACCACTACACACACCACCGCTCCCCTATATGACCAAAGACCCCCCGCCGTTTAGCCTTTGGGGCAAGTGCTGTTAGCGAGTAGCACCGATGAAAGCCGGCACGGCACACGAGGTGGTCGGGTGGCCAGCACCACGCCCGGCCGCCTTTGTCTCCCTAGCGGCGATGTTTACGCATCAAACACAACAACAACCGCCATTCGCCACTAAGTGGCGGTGACGTCACCACGACGCTTGTGCCAGGCTATGTGCACCCTGAGGCCACGTGAAGTGTCGAACGCCTGCTGGCAGGAGGTCACGGGGCAGACCCAGGTGCCACGGGTCGACTGACTGAGATGACTGGCTGATGCACCACCTGTGCCCCCTACTGTGCCAAACACACGCACACAGCCACGAACACACAAAGAGAACCAGTCACACGTGTTGCGTGTGCACGCGCCGTTGGTTGATTTAGGTTGCGAATGACACCGATATCATTGTTGGGACGGCGTGAGTTCACTTTGGTGTTTAAACAGTAACCTCACCCTCCCATACACTCCTCACGTTACTCTTTGGTTCTATTCGGTAAAGTCACGTAGGTAAAAAATAAAACAACAAAAATCACGACGTTTCGGCCACAACACAAGCGGCCCTCATCAGGTGAAGGGGCCAGACTGTCTCGAGGACAGCGCTGGAGTGAACACAGCCAAGCTCAGACCGCGACCTTTAAGCTGTGTGAGAGGAATTAAGGTGCCTTGACAAAGGAATTAGCATAAAAATTCGCATTTAATTGGCGGACTTCGCATGATGAACGGTGTAGAGGGGGTGAACATGTGCAGGTCGGCGAGGGGGGGAGGGGGAGTTTACATATTGATGGTGTGAAAAGGGAATTTTAAGAGCTGCGAAAGTTTGGGGTACCACTACTTGAAAAAATATACTGTACCATTGAAAATTAGTTTAATGTTTGGTTCGATTTAGAACATCTTTCCAATGGTTGCTTAATTTGAAACCATCATCTCGGTTGAAATTGTGTCTGTGTTTGTAAATCTGAATTTGGCTCGTGAACAAATCTCTGATAAAAACCCGTGGGTTTGCAAAGAACCTTGGTATCGGAGAAAATTATATCGTGATCACCCACAGCGTTGTAACAGTGATCAGCTACGGCAGAAGAATTCGTTCTGCCGTGTTTCAAATCTGATTTGTGCTCGCGAATTCGGTCAGAGACATGTCACTTCGTCTCCCCGATATAGCAATCACCGCAGGTACAACTCATTTTGTAAACCCCGGGGTACTGTAAGTCAGGAATGACATCCTTCACGGATGGGATCAGATCACAAATTTTGTGTACTGTATTGAACCGGACCTGGATCTTGTGTTTGTTTAGAATTTTGGAAATCTTTTTAGTAACGCCTGCTATATATGGTAGTGTGATGGTTTTGACCGGAGTATCAAGTGGTTTTTCTGTATGGAGGGAGAAACAGCTTGGCAGATGGTACGGTCAGAGTATCCATTCCTTTTGAGGGCCAGGTGTACATGTTTTAATTCACTGGTCAGGTGGTGTTAGTCCGAAATGCAATGAGCCCTATGGTATAAAGTTTTGATGAGATAATTCTTTTGAGCTGGGTGGTGGTGGGAATCAGGTTTCAAGTAGGAATCTGTGTGTGTGGGTTTCCTGTAGACAGAATGCCCCAATGAGCCATCAGGTCTCCTCTCAAACAGAACATCTAAGAATGGTAGCTTGCCATCTTTCTCCATTTCCATGGTGAATTTGATGGCGGGATGTCTGGAATTGATGTGGCGTAGGAAAAGGTTCAGAGCTGGGAGGCCATGTGGCCAAATGACGAAAGTGTCATCCACATATCTCTTCCACATATCTCTTCCAAAGGGAAGGTCTGAGGGTGGAAGTCTGGATGGCGTCCGATTCAAATTTCTCCATGAAAACATTGGCTATCACTGGTGACAAGGGGGAACCCATGGGAGTACCCTCATTTTGCTTGTAGAAGGAACCATTCCAAGTGAAGTAGGTGTTGGTGAGGCAGTGCCTGACCAGCGTAGGTACCTCGGGGTTTAGTCCATGTTGTACCAAATTTTCAATGATTTCAATGGTATCAGGTACCGGGACCTTGGTGAACAAGGAGACCACATCGAAGCTGACATGGATATCGTCAGGGGACAGTACAACGTCTTTTACCATAGAAACCAATTGGGCTGAGTTAAGTACTGCTGAGGAGGTCTTGTCAGTGAAAGGTAGCAAGGTATCTGACAGAAAACGTGCTAGCTTATAGGTAGGGGAGTTGATCGTGGATACGATGTCATCAGCTGCATCATCATCACAAGCTGCATCAGCTGTATGACAATAAACTTCATCATCCCACACTGCGTAATCATGATACAGAAGTCATCGGCATCTGTATCGCAAAGCTGCGTCGGCTACATTGAAGGCTTCGTCGTTATCAGCAGCAGCATCACAATCTACATTATCATCGTCAACAGATTCATCATCATAAACTGCATCATCATAAACTGCATCATCATTAAGCTGCATGAACATCACCATAATGAATAATCGTATCGTTACGAACATATCATCATCAACAGGTTATCTGTATGGATAATTTGAATGTTATCCCCTCGTATGTGTGTTGGTTTTCCTGGTGCTATGATTTCCTCCCATGCCCCACGAAAATATCCTTGTGCTATTTATCAAAACTATCTCAATGGAGCAGGATCCTTCTGAATGAGTATTGACCCGGAGGCTTTTCTGGTTGCATAAAGA